GGGGGCCGGCGGTGTGGGGCCGGGGGCCGGCAGTGTGGGGCTGGGGTCCAGGGCTGGTGGTGCTCGGCCGGGGGCCGGGGCCGGGCCGGGGCCGGCGCCCCAGGGCCTGAGCTGAGCCAGGCGGGAGATGCCGGGGCCAGAGCCTCTTGGCCTGGGCCGGCCGGCCACCAGAGGGAGCTGCTTGGCCAGGGGGGCCGGACTGGGCCGTGCCCCAGCCCCAGCTTACCTGCTGCCTCCCTGTTTCAGGCTTCCCGCGAACATTTGATTTGCAGGAAGCAGGGGAGGGGAAGGAGCAGGGGGCAGAGCGTTCAGAGGAGGGGGCAGAAGTGGGGTGGGGACTTTGGGGAAGGGGCGGAGTTGGGGTGGGGCTGGGGCGGGGAAGGGACGGAGTTGGGGTGGGGCCGGGGCCCTGTGGAGTGTCCTCCTTTTTTTAAATTAAAATGTGGTAACCCTAGTGTGTATCACTTTGCATCAGTAGATCTCAAAGCACTTTACAAAGGAGGTCAGTATCCTCATCGATGGGGAAACTGAGAGGTGAAGTGACTTGCCCAAGTCATCTAGCAAGCTAGTCGCAGAGTCAGGAATAGAGCCCAAGTCCCAGGCCAGTGCCCTGTCAGTCAGGCTACTCTGCCTCCTATACAGCCTAAGAATGATGGCATCCCAGTAACATACGCGTTAGGCTGCTTCTCCGATGGTTGTTCATACTGTACATTTTCAAAGCTGATATCTAGTTTGAAATTGGGGAGCAGAGCCAGGAAACGTAGAGGTATCTGGCTGCATTCCCTATAACAATCAGGGTCCTTCTTGCAGTGCTCAGCTAGCTGTGGAGAGGGCGTTCAGACCCGGACCGTCACCTGCAGAACCGAGTTGGGCTCTCAGACTCAAGACTTTGCCTGCCTGACTGAGCCTAAACCACTCCTCAGCCAGCCCTGCAGCAAGGAGAATTGCATCCAGAAAATTGGTTGGCACATTGGAGCCTGGGGCCTGGTGAGTGTCGTATCCTCATGGTGCTCACTTCATCAATTAACTTGTACTCATGCAGTGTTTCTCACCTATTGCGCTGTGAGTGAATCGGTCCACATGTTGGTTGTTGAGGCCAGAAGCACGTACTCCTTCGTTATCAGCTCCATGGCTCACTGTCACAGCTTGTGTCTGCTCCAAAAACAAGCCCTCGGAGGGGATTAACGTTTCAGTGACTGTGGCAGCATGCAGCTGATACACTGAAACAATCCACTCCTGTTGCTTCATTATTCCCATTTCTGTGACACCACTATCAACGTCACAGCTACCCATTTGAATGTGACAGACGGAGTATGAGGTAGACTCCATCTCTATTGGGCTGGACATCATGTTTGGTGAATTGAAGTATGTTTCTGAAAGGGTTCAGGGTAACCCAGTTTAAACAGAGGGTCGTCTGCCTAAAATTTAGGTAGAGGGCCAAACTATGTTTAGCCTGACTTGTGGTCAGGATCAACACCAAAGCTAGTAGGAATTTTTGCCCCATCTGTGCCAGCTGAGTTACCCTGAACTGGCTTAAAAGATGCTAAGCACAGCTCCTGGCACCATGTGGATGGGGTCTTAACAAGGCTAGGTGAGCCTTTATGCCTTAATCTGGTTCTGTCTGATGCATAGGATTCCAACCAAATGAGGGAATGGGCGCTTGGTTTGGGTGCCTAATTTTGAAAATGATGTCCTGTATCTGATTAAAGGCGAGAAGTTTCTTCCTGGAGCAGATGTTTTTATGTAGATACTTACTCCCCATTCCCTGACTTCCTTGCCTTCATTCCTGGCTGCTGCCAATCCCTCCCTGCCACCCCCACCTTACTTCCTAGCAAAGGTGGCAATTCCAGTCAGCTATGCTACCAGAACCATCAAACCTGGTTGCTCCGTTGTCAGCCCCATTGTAATTTGGTACCTGGCCCCAGGGAAGGGGGACTTTAGGACTGTGCCTAGCACGGCTGTTGGACCCCAGTAATGGTCAAATTGCACCTAGGCATGTTCAACACTTTCATGTTGGTCATACCGTCATTCAGCAGGCTGCCATGGGCTATGCTCTGGCATGTTTTGCCAGCTGCTAACCATGTTCCTGGTCAGCATGCCAGGCTCATGGGATCACTGTGTTCTGTCTTCCTGCTCTCTCTCCTCATCTTTCTGCCCAAGTGTTCGAAGAGCTGCGACTCAGGCATCCGAACACGCCAGGTCATCTGTGCTGATGGTGATTCCAAATCCTACCCCCCTGAGACGTGCAAGGCCAGCCAGCCACAGACCCCAGCTGTGCTGGGAAGCTGCAACATTCAGCCCTGCTATCTGCCACAGCGTAAGTGACATTACTAGACATCTGGATTTTCCTAGGATGTTCCTGCTTTTGAATAAAAATTCCCAGTATCCCATGCCAGCAGGGCTGATTGTTTTGAGGCCTCTGCCCCTTGCCTACCCATTTGTGCAGCTTTCATAGAGCAGCTAGTTTGCTCCATCTTCCCGCAGTGCCTGGAGTGGGGTTCCTGCTACCTGTGCTGTCTGAAACATGTTCATCAGGCATGTGAGCAACACCAGTGCCTGCCCCTTTTGAGACTGATGCTTTTAATTCCTGTATTTCCCTTACCTGTCTGATGGCCTCTGTCTTGGCTGACACTGAGGATTGCATCAGGGACCACCAGAACTGAAAGTGTGAGTCTCTGCAGCTTGGGCATGGATCTGTAGCCTGGGGCTGTAACAGTCCCATCTTCTGTGGATCAGGTATAGACGGGGGCACCCAACACACTGACCAGGGTGTTATTACAAACACTAGCTCCCCATACTTCTCCCTCCAGCCATATAGGGGAATCAAACCAAATGTACCAAAACCTGTCCTAATGGGTCTGTCACCACAGAACTAGGGGTATTGCTTTGATGTTCCATCCAGTCCAAGCTGTCCATCAACATGGATGCTCTGAGCAAACAAACCTCCTCATTGGCTTCAGGAGCTTTGAGCTCTCCTATTGGCCATATTAATGCTATGGTTCCACCCGCAAAGCCATAGGACCCACTCCTGATTGGTTCATTTATCAAGTCTTGGCTTCAAACAACAGCAGCCTAAAAATGGGCCCCAGAATTAGTTACCTGAAGTCTCACATGACAGAGCAGACAGTGTTTCACCATTGCTTAGCAGTGCTAACCATAGGCATCTTTGTTAATCCGTCTTACTGTCTCACTATCCCCTGTTGGGCAATTAATTTTTGGCACACTGTGAGAGATGGATTCTGTTGTCCAGAGTTAGGATATTGACCCTCCTGGCCTGAAAGCTAAAGGCTGCCGAGATGCTGCTGCCCACAGCTGTGTCATGGCAGATCCACAATTTGACATGTTTCAACATGTCATCTGGTTACTTGGCTAGGGTCTTTCTCTCCCTCTTCTTGCCTTATAGGAATGTGCCAGTGGATTATGCAGGTTGACAGAGAATGATGCCAAGCTCCTCCCACACTTGGTCCCCCCAGGAGTTGGAATAATTCTGGGGACACTTTATCCCAATCTGAATATTTCTTCTCCTGTCCAATCCCATGGCACAGGTGAATACAGACACATGTATTCACTAGTCCAACCCACTGCCTATATTCTGTCATTTGTCCATCTCTTTGCAGAGGTTCCCAGTATGCAGGATACCACAGGCTATGACGTCAGCCGAGAGTACTTGCTGACCCGCTACTACCCGGACAGTGGCACAACAGGTTTGGAGGTTTTATGTTTTCTTTTATGATGTCCTCTTCACTGTTTTCTTTATTTCCTTTCTTTATGTGGTTTCCATGAGCTGCCAGGAATCCTAGGGTGAGGAACAATTTACAGATCCTTTTACATCTATATTGAGTTGTATCTAGATACAAATTCACAAAGGAACGTATATATGTATGCATAAATCCTAGACTTTGATATGGGCGGCATTAGGCATAGGGTAAACGGAGTGCCTCCTTGGCAGTCATGTCTAAGAGGTCGCCAGGAGAATAATAAGTTTACTATGGTCCCTTGCCAGCAGGCCAGTCCCAAACCTTTCTTCACCACCTGCAGACTTTCTCCCCATCTCATCTCTAGAAGAGTTCCCCTGTTTCCACTCAGTTTTGTGCTGCAGGCATCTTTAGGTTTCAAGTCTGTCCCAGAATCTTGCATTGGCAGCTCCAGTGCCTAATTTTGAACCACTACTGTAGCTGATACAAAAGATATATGGGAACTAAAGACACCCAGAGAATCTGAGAGAACAGGGAACCCCCATTTGGAGGAGGAAGTGAAACAGGTGGGGGGCATCTCAGGTGTGTTAGTGAGCTGGGTGGGTAGGTAGAAGAAACGGAGTAGCCAGCAAGTGATTTGAGGTGAGTGATGCCATATTCATTCTTCACTAAGGTCATCATTCCTTCAAAGGCCAGTCCCTGTGTATTGAGAAACCGGCTAAACACTTGCCCTCAGTCACTTTATAATAGGAATATTTGAGGGGCAAAACTGCCCATATGATGTAAATAACGGTGTCACCTGGACTAGTGGGAGGACAGGAAGAATTTTGTTAGAGACCATTTCTTAAGGGTAATAGGTCATCTGGTAGCACAGTAATCTTAAGGAACCAGAATTCATTGTGAATGGGAACCAAAGCTTCAGTCAGGAAGTTTCCTGTGACTTTCTCCCAGGTGAAAAATGTACGTTAACAAGTCTGGCCTCAGAGTCAGACTGGTAGAGGACTCCTTTCATCTATCAATGTGCTTTGAACAGAGGCAGAGGAAACAGAGACTGGATTTTGATGCCCACCTGAAATGGGCTGCATGCATTAAGGATTTTTCTTTTCAGTTTATAGCAATGAAAGAACAATCCAAGGTAGCACCACACACCACCAGCTCCAGCCCAGTGAAGATCGTAGCTCCAACTTCTTGCCTCTTCGTTGGGAATCCCACTCAAGCTCTTCACGGTCCCGGCAGTTCAGCTCCCATCAGGATATTGCCACAGGGACTGGCCCTCAGGACTGCAGCCAGAGCCCTCATGGCTGCTGCTCAGATGGTCACACTCCGGCTTCTGGCCCCTTTGGGCAAGGCTGCCCCTTCAGCACGTGCCATCGGAGCAGGTTGGATGAAACAGTGGGGTTTGGGCTGGTGGAACCACCCTCTATGACTGAGTTGATGTTTACAGCCTGCATTTGTTGGGTCAGGGTTTCAAATAAGAAAGATTTTGCTAAAACCCTTTATCTTTTCCCTGCAGATATGGATGCTGCCCTAATGGAATATCAGCTGCTCAGGGCCCCAACAATGTGGGTTGCACACAATATTACAGTGATGTTTATGTGAGCAGAAACAGGCCCGCTGCAGCCTCCCCAACGGTAAGTGCCAGAACTCTCTAGAACCTTTTGCTAATAATATTGAGATCTGGTTGAAATAGCCCATTGTTTTCAGGGTTTGGCTCTGGCCCTGGAGACTGAGGTTTTTGGCTCCTGTTCTGCTCTTCCTTTATGTCTCCTGACAATAACTCTGGGCAATTGATAGAGGGAGGATGCTAGACACCCACTAAGCCAACATTCCTATCTGCTGCCGCTCAGTGAGCCCCAGTGGAATTCCTTCGTGACATGAGTCTGGGTGGTGGAGTGGCAGCTGCAGCTTGTGCTGCCAGGTTGACGAGTGGAGCACCCTCGTTTGGGGAAGGGACTCAGTATTCCTTATTGTAGGACACTGAACCAAACTTCCTCTCTTGAGGCAACCGGAAATCGTCAGCACTGCATGTGGAGAGGGAAGTATTTGATTGTTGTGCCTGTGTTTGATGTATGGTTCCTGCCATTCTGAGGCTACCTTGGATGTGATTTTTTTTCTCTGAGAATATAAGTTGATAGGTCTTTGCAGTGGGAGATGCTAGGTTCCGGAACTGTGTAGAGTCATTTTGGGCTAACAAGGTGATTCGTGGTCCAGAACAGATTAGCGGGGCATGCCAAAATGCAAATAGGGGCTGGATGGCTTAGGAGATATAGAGAGTTTCACACTTCAAAGTTGCCCATTTTAACCTAGCCTAAGTGAATAATGACTACCATACCATTACCGTACCATTTCCATACCATTACCATACGCTGTAGAAGTAGCTGCCCAGTAACGTTAACCTTTGAATTCCTTTCACTAAGGCGAGCCAAGCTTTGTCCCAGCAGAACCCGTCTGATGAGTGTCGAGGTTCTTTGTATGGCTGCTGCTATGACAACATCGCTTCAGCTTCAGGACCTCAAGGGGAAGGATGCCTCAACAGACCCAGCCAACGTAAGTGATGTTTTGGCTTCCTGCTTTAGAAATGTGCCTCCCCTGAAAGGAAAATCCTACAGAATGTAATAGAAAATGTGAAGTTTTGTATAGGGTTTTTCACCTATCCTGTAAAATGTAATAAAAATAATCTCCCTGCAATAGGATTCTGTATGATGGTTGGAAAAAAAACATTAGAGAAATTCCTATTAATCCCTATTAATTTCCTATAGAATACTATTGATTTCATCTCTGTTGGAGTCTATAAGACTTCCTCATAAGGGCCACTCTGCAGGCCAAGACTCACTCATGCATCCCTGCTTGCATTGATCCCCCGTCATTTGCCTTGATCCATGACAAGCTAGGAATCATCCTATTATCAGTGGGCCATATCCCCCCCCCCAAAAAAACAAGCCTATTGACCCCAGTATGGTTTCAGGGCTATAACTAGGGGTCGAACATGTCACTTAGCGCTTCAATTGAGGAATTTAAGCCACAGCTCTGAGTAGGGGGCACTGCAGAGCCATGATGCCCCAGGAGGAGCTCCAGGGAAATTGTGTCACTCAGTTTTGTTCCTTTAGCTCAGAGAGAGAGAGAGTGCCGTGTGCCCCATTCTAGGAGAGAGCTGCTCGATCCCGCAGGACACCAGCTGTACTTGGCAGAGTAGTGTCAGGAGTGTGCTATTACATCACCTTCCCCAACCCCCTTCTCAGAGCACAGGGACAGCCACAGGGAGCATTTCTGCCCAGCTACCCCCGGGAAGGGACAACTTCTCGCTCACTCCTCCACACCCCTACAGTGGCCACCCATAATCTGGGCTGTAGCAACTGAAGCTGCTTCTCTGATGCATCATGGCTCTAGGAGTCAGAACAGTGCCTGTGAGCCAGCAGAAAACCCAAGGTTCATAGGGCCACAGGGTTACATTTATTCCTCTGTCCTAGCATGTGGGGTCCAGAGAACCTTGTGTTACCCTAGGTTTTGTGACCAGTTCTGGTTCCAAGCCTCGGGCTGGATGACCTTGGAATGATACCCTCCCTCCCTCCCCAGTCCTATAGCAGGAACCCCAGAGAACAAGAATAACTCACAATTGTGTAACACTGTGCTGGGCTATAAAACCTAAATGAAGACCAGCAGCCCCTGGGAGGTAGGCGGTGTTATCTCCATTTTACACACAAGGAACTGAGACACAGAGAGGTGAGAGTGTCTTGCTCAAGGGCAGAGTTAGGAAACGAACCCCAATCTCCTACTGCCTAGCTGGGTGTGCTACCCATGAGATAATTCTCCCTCCATGGACAGCAGCCTTGGGTAGCATGGTGATGAAGCTATCAGGGCTATGTGCTCAGTAGAAAGGAGATTCCAGGAGTCAACTCTCACAATCAGGTCTCTTTCTTTTCTGCTGTTTGTTGGTAGCTTATCCTGTCAAGTGTCTGCTGCCCAGTGCCCAGGGCCCCTGCACAGACTGGACCACTCGCTGGTACTTTGTAACTGCTGTTGGCAAGTGCAACCGGTTCTGGTATGGTGGTTGCCATGGTAACACAAACAACTTTGCCTCAGAGGAGGAATGCATGAGGGCCTGCCAAGGCTCCATGGGAACAAGCAGTGTGGGGCACCAGCACCACAGGGGGACTTTGCACATCCACTCTGGCTCCCATCCACGAGAGGGAGAAGCCCAAGGACACCCGCAGCCATCTGCAAGAGGAACTGAGAGTCATAGCCAAGGAGAAGGAACACGAGGGTCTTTCCACGTTGCCCAACCTGGGCCTGATAGCCATACAGCATGGCAGGGCACAGGGCTGCACCACAGGGAGAATGGCTGGAGAAGGACCATGAATGTGGATATACTGCCAGAGTCTTCACAGAGGAGTGGCACATTGGTTAACCAGCGCTTGGGCTCTCATCACTCTGCAGCTCATGGGGAAAGGAGGACGGACCAATCAAGCGAGCTGCATGGGAGAGGGGAAACAATGGTGTCTGGGCACTCGGAGAGGCAGCTAACTGTCAATGGGCAGGTGGTGCAGCATGAACATGAGCAGTGGCGGAGTCCCTCTGGAGCAGACACTCCTGGGGAGGATGGACTTGGGCATCGAACCTCACCAGGTTCCACCTTGCAGCGAAGCTTGTACAGGTGACGCTTTTATACTACCCCACTGTGATACTGAAGCACCGAGTGCCATCTTCTACAGGGGGAAATGTTTTCCAATCCACAACTAACTCACTCTCCTGAAATGTCCCACTACAGATTACTTACAATAGTGTCCCTGTGGAAAGCCAGCTGTCCATGCGATGGGGATGTCTAATACCCACTTTACCTCTTCTGCGGCCCAGTCCTGCACATCTCATACAGCCATTGACTTGAGTGGAAGTATTGGGTGTGTATGGAATGCAGGATTTGGCTCTTAATCTCCATCCTTTATATCTAGTGGGCACTTTACAGGTATCATTGTTGGCCAGCTCTGGCTCCCATTTAAAACAACAGGAGTTGTGCTTACTTACACTAGGGTTAAATTTGGCCCTGTATGTGATTTCAAGACTTTATTTTGGCATGGTAAAGGATCAGCAGTAGGTTAATACTAGAGATGAATCCAGATCCAGCTGATGAACACCTGATGATGATGATCAAAGGCATTTGGATTTCAGGATTTGGTTCAATTGTAAGTCTAGAGAAAACACTAGCTTGGTGTCTCCGGGGACCTGGATTCAGATTTGTTTTAGTTCTCCCAGACTAAGGGGTTTTAATGGTCTCTGCCTCTACCTCATCAATTGACTGTCCACAGCATTCAACTTGTCAAGATCCGTCTTCTCCCCCCTAGGAGAGGTCTAGCCCTGGATTGCTGAGTGCAGGCTCTCAAGCCTCTAGTTTCTAACAGAGCTATATATAACAGACCTCTGGGTTACCTTAGCTCACTATTGTGCAACTCCCATCCTGTCCTGAAGGGCTACCTTACGGGTATGTCTACACTGGAGCTAGAGGCATGATTTCCAATTTGGGTAGACATACCTGCATTAGCTCTGGTTGAGCCAGTGTGCTAAAAATAGAAGAGTAGAAAACATCAGTGAGAGGGCATAGCTGTCCGAGTATGTACCTATGATTTCAGACAGGATCATACATGGGCGGCGAGTCCCTCCTGCCACTGTGGCTACACTTCTCTGTTTAGCACACACACTCAATCAGAACTAACGTGGGTATATCTACTGAAGCTGGAGATTACGCCTCCAGCTTCAGTGTAGATATACCCTTAGAGACACCAGAGAAAGGGTGGGGGAACAAGAGGTGGACACAGGGAGTGAAATCATCTCTATGTCTGTCAGAGTCATCCTGGAAGGAGCTGAATCCTCTGTAGTGGAGGCAGCCTTGGGACAGACCATTCATCTTCTCTGCAAGGCTGGTTCTTCTCCCTTCCCCAGAATTGAGTGGCAGAAAGATGGGACGCCACTATCATCTGACAGGTAAGTCTGGTCCCATGTTGCAATTCCTGTTCCAACATCACCATCCCCTCCCCCTCCCACATTACAGTTTGCAGAATCTTTTTTCTAGAACATTCTCAAAAAACAAAATCACTAGGTAAACTGGAAAAGCCTCTCCTAACTGAACCCCACTACTAAGTGATACCAGAAAGGCCTAGGCATAGCAATAACAAATAGGCTGTTAATTGTTCGATGTGGTGCAGCTGAACACTTACATATTATCAGGTAGAAAAGGATTATCACATTGCCAACTTTCAGCAACAACACCCAATTCACAAGTGGTTACACAAGTGAGTTTTGAGTGCAAAGTCCTTTTCAGTGTTGTTGGAAGACGGTAGAATTGCCCAGGAAGTGCATCAATAGCCAACCATGTATACCTTGGAGTGCCTCAATGCTGTCAGATTGCGGCTCATCCCATTTAAAATTTAACCGTTTAGAGAAACCCTTCTTAAATCTCAGCTTTACAGGGTTTTCTGGGAGGTCTCCTGCGGTAGTTTGTTGCCCAGTAGTCACTTTCTATTGTAAAAACTAAGGTGGCAATATTGAACAGTTCCCAGTCTTGTTTTACAGTGAAGGGCCACACACTATGGCTGAAAGGGCAGCTCGGCACTTCAGGGCAGGGGACAATTTAAAACAGTCACTGTCTCTCCCCCCTCCTCTTTGTTTCCCCATCTCGGCTTCCTCTTTTGACCTCTGTCTCCCCTCCTCTCACCCATTCAATAGCCTGGGGAGTTTTGTATTCCAGTGATGAGGATTCAGCCATTCACCACAGGGGGGTCATTGCAGTTGTGACATAAACAGGCCCAATTGGCCCATCAGAATGTGGCTTTGGACAATTGGCATCCACAGCCAGGTTCTCGTACGTAACTGCATGTGTTCCATCTGTAGGCATGCCTACCAGTCTGACAGTTCCTTGGTGATAAGCCGTGTCAGAGCTGAGGATGCTGGGATGTACACATGCATAACTTCAAATGGGAAGATGGAGAGCAGACAGATTCAGCTAAGGATCAAAGGTGACTTATCTTCCATTTAAAACCAGAATATTAATTCTTTTCTGTCCCTTTTTAAGAGTCATTGGTAACAGGAACAATTAAAGTCAGTTGCAGAGGCAACTTGTAATGGAACTTCGAGTAGACGCAGCTGTGTATTCTGCTTAGGTATGTGCACGTCCAGTGCACTGGCACTGGAGAACTTTGCCTAGCAATACTCCTAGGAACTGCACTCGCCCCCTGCTGTTTTAGCCCCTCCTCTCACCATATAAGGGCAGCACCATCCCAACCCCCTCAGTTTCTTCTCATGACCCGTGGCTAGATTTGGAGCTCCATCATCACTTGATAATTGCCTGTTCCGTTCATTCCCTCTGAAGCACCTGACATTGGCCACTGTTGGAAGACAGGATACTGGGCTAGATGGACCATTGGTCTGACCCAGTATGGCCATTCTTATGTTCTTATGTTGTGTTTTTCACCTTGCACTCTTGGTCTTGGTCTGAGAGACTTTTTCTTGTATGTAGTAGTTAGTAGTACCTTAAGTTAAGTTTAGTAATAATAATTGGAGTAGTTGGCTGCCCTCACCAGGGTTCAAGCATTGTCCATCGTGTGGGAGGGCCATTTTACAGATGATTTTAAAGAATATCAGGACTTCCCGAGGCGTGTGGCCACTACCCTGGGTATCCAGGCAGAATTTCTGCAGGAGAATACGTATAAGCTGCTGGATATTCTCCTGTCATCAGCTCTAGGGAGAGTAAGCATCCCAATAAACAAGGCTCTTCTGAAGCCTGCAAATGCACTCTGTTGCCTCCCACAGTGAAGCATTTGGAGAAGCAGGACTTTATTCCTATGCAGGATTCTGAGGGTTTCCACTCCCTCCTGCCCCCTAACTCTCTGGTGGTAACTGAAGCGAATGACAGTGCACGGTAGGGGAGGTATAAGTCTATCCCTAAGAACAAAGAGTCCAAGAGGATGGACTAATGGGAAGGAAGATTTATCTCCCCTCTTCCCTGCAAATGCGCATCGCAGACTAGCAGGCGTTGCTCTCTAAATATGACTGTCAATTGGTTGTCCGTGTCTGTGTTCAAGGACAAGTTGCCAGAACCTTCCAGGGAAGAGTTTATGGTACTCATCGTGGAAGGCCGTATAGTGGCCATGACCTTGTTGCAGTCAGCTCTGGATGTGGTAGATGCTATGACCAGAATGATGGCATCAGCTGTGACTACGAGGGCCTCAGGGCTGCAGAATTCAGTCATTGAGCCCGATGTGCAGCAGACCATTGAGGAATTACCATTTGATGGACGGGTTTTGTTTTCAGAAAAAACTGACTGCGCTCTTTTAAAGGCTCCTGAGCTACTTTACATTCTTTGGGAGCTTGTACTCTTGCCATGAAGAGATGCCACTGTAGTGGGCAGCAGCAGCAATACCACCCACAGCATTTTTTCAGACAATCCTTCCTTCGTTTAAGGCAGCAGGGCTATTCCCAGAAGGGTCGTAGAATCCTCTGGTTCTGGGTTTAACCAGATGGTTCCCCTTGCGCTGCACCCCTGCCCCGGCATCCAGCAAGCACCCATTTTGGCTCCTATGTCCAGGACAGCAATCTAGTGGTGTCCTCTTCTTCCCCATCCCTTCTGTTTGGGACAGGCTGGTGCATTTTTACGGTGCTTGGGACTCGATTACTGTAGAGAACTGGGTCCAAAGCACTGTCAGATTGTTATGCCATCCAGTTCTTCCCCATCCATGTTCCCCCTCCCCTCTCACAAGATACTGCTCCTTGAGCAGGTTCAGTATCTAATGGCTCTCGGGGCCATAGAGGAGGTTCCTTTGCAGCATCGGGGGCAGGGCTCTACTCACAGAATTTCCTGGATCCCAAGCCTAAGGGAGGGGTGAGACCTATCCTCGACCTCTGTGACCTCAACAAATACAAAGCTGGCTTATATGCAGAATATCTTGGAGTACATGTTACACCTTCAATCTTAAGGTCTGGCACTTATTTCATTGAGAGTCCACCTGGAAGCAATTCCGGCATTTCATTCACCCATCCATGGGAAGTCAGTGTTTTCAAACTCCATGGCAGTGAGGTTCTTGAAAGGAGTCACTCATCTCCATCTGCTGGTTAAAGGGCCAATTCCTTTGTGGGACCTTAATACTGTCTTAGGGTACATCTATACTTACCCGCTGGTTCGGCGGCAAGCAATCGATCTTCTGGGATTGATTTATCGCGTCTTGTCTAGACGTGATAAATCGATCCCGGAAGTGCTCGCCGTCGACGCCAGTAATCCTGCTCCGCAAGAGGAGTAGGCGGAGTCGACGGGGGAGCCTGCCTGCTGTGTGTGGACCCGCGGTAAGTACCTTTAAGTTCGAACTAAGATACTTCGACTTCAGCTACGTTATTCACGTAGCTGAAGTTGCGTATCTTAGTTCGAACTGGGGGCTTAGTGTGGACCAGCCCTTTGAGACTTTTATGGAGCCTCCATTTGAATCTCCAAGCCCCACCTCTTAGGAGTACTGCTTGCAAGTCACCTGAGTAGAATGCACAGCTGCATGTGCTCCAAGAAAAGAAAAGAAAAAAAAAAGTTACCTACCTGTAACAGGTGTGATGCAGATATGTATTGTATGCCCCACCCTTTGTTCCCTCTGCATTGGAGTCTGTACTTCTGATGTTCAGTGCAAAAGAACAGAGGGGGTTGGGACAGTGCTGCCCTTATATGGCCTGGGGATGGGGTATGGCTGCAGGGTGTGTGCCCCACCCCTACAGGTACTACTAGGCAAAATGTGCACACATCTAATTAGAATACATGGCTGTAACATGTCTATAAGAACAACAATTACAGGTAGGTAGCAGTTTTTTTCCTCCACTGCAGTGTCTTGCTACCTTCTTCCATGGCAGTGGCCACAACCTGCTGAGAGCTAGCCATAATCCCAGCAATATGTTTCCTCAGCACAGTGACTGCTGAGTGTTAGCCCTGACACCAGCAGTGAGAAATGCTGCAGTGCCAATCATAACTGGAGCAGTGACTTGCCCAATGCCAGTCACAGCTCCAGCTGGACAAGCTGCCTCAGTACATTTTCATCCTGGAGGGCCATCTTCTCTCCCCTAACATTTTATTGGGTGCAGAGAGGGCTCTAAAGGAGGGGAATCCTGCAGGCCTTGGTCTGAAATCACTGTCATGGCTGCCTGTCCTACACCACGTCATGTTATATGCTCTGCTGGGACAGACAACTCCACTGGGAGATGCTGGAGTTTTGCCCAGAATGGGCCTCCTGGATAGTGAATTATTTACTATGCTTTTTTTAAAAAGTGCATTATAAAAAAAATGACTATTTTAATAAAAGAAGGCTAAGCAGCCTCCTCTCACCTCTCCAGAGTGTGCCCTCATGCCTCTGCAGGGGGATGGGAAATATCTGGCTTCTCTCTGCCATTCTTTTGTGGTAATGGCAAAAGGCTTCTGTACCTAAGAGATACTGCTGCATGCCCATTGATGGAGGAAAGGAAGGAGTCTAATATCCATGGTTGTAGCTCCCATTAATAGGAATCGCAGGCTTACAACACTCATCAATCAGAGAACAGATGCATTAACTCTCCCAAGTTCACAGCAACTCTACGCAAGAGGTCACAGTGGATGGATCGTATTATTCATGTATAGCATTTTATTTTGAATAGAGGACCGTGGATCTCCTCTGACAGAGGGTATTAGAGGTCAGCTCCTTCATGGTTTGAATCACCAACACAGAGATCTCACCAGAGGAGTTAATACTGTACAGTCACCTGGTTCCTCTGTACACCAGCCGCTCATGTACAGGTAAGGCCGGCAACTGTCCTCTGGCATGCCCAAGTGACATCCACCTGGTATCCATATGGGGAAGATCAGGGTGAGAGGTGCCTTCTTGCTTTGGGGGGCAATGGGAGGTGCTGGTTAGGAGTGTTGGATGGGTGGAAGTGGAGTTTAGCAAAGGTCCCAGTCATACTACTATGAGAGCGACAAACTGTTCCATTCATAACAACCATGTTCCTAGCTGGGCGATACCTGGTAGCTGGCAGTAGAGAAGGGTTTAAATGACAGAACACCTGGAGCTGTTCTGGCTAACAACTGAATTCATTGCCATAAGGAAAGAAAACAAAACAGGACTATTTTAAACAAGCACAAACTAGACCCATTGAATAAAAAAGCCCAGCACCACAGCTCCAACACAGTCCCACTCGTCTAGAGTCTTGTAAAAACAAACTGTCTTGTGATCCTTCTAGTCCTGCCTAGTTCCCAATGGCTGAGCTGGGCATTAGGCAAGAACAGCTGCTTACGCGGTACTTGGATACTTCTGGGTCCTGCTGTAAATAGAGAAGGGGGAAAACTTTTTATTCACCTTACCCACACAATTTTGGTGACTCAGATAAAATGGGACCAGTACGTGAGCTTTCCCTGCTTTCAAGTTTGCAGATCCAAACCCCAGTCACTGAGGTCTGCTAAACCCTATAAAACCCTCAGCCCAACTCTGGCTGCAAGCAGGAGACAGAAGGTGAAGGTGTTAAACTTTTCTGAAGCTCAAGAAGGATTTGGTTTGAATTTTGAGTAAAGGATGGGGGTTGGTGTTTTCCCTTTACTCTAGCCTAGTTTGTCCATCCCAATAGAATAAAACAGGGCTGATTTAATCCCATCTGAAATGATGTTTGGCTGCATCACCTGATATTTATGCAGACTGAAGAGACAAATATGTTACTGTCACAGGACCCCAGACAGTACAGCAGAGTAGGGCTTGATGCAGACATTTCCTAGGAGATGAGGTTCTATGGCTGGTGCTATGTAGAACTGGTTAGAGTGTAATAATTATTCCTGTCTGCCTTTAAATCTATGAATGTATTCAGTTGTGTGTGGCGGGCAGGCACTTGAGGGTGAAGCTCGTTTAGTTTCCTGATCAGCAGTGCCTAACATCACTCAGAGTGACCTCTTGAGCTGACTAAAGCCTTATGAAAGCTGACATTTTCTAGGCCGACAGCCAAAGGAATGCTTAGGAGGATGTGTCTGTAGTCTCCCAAGCTTTAATATAGAGACAATCCATTTCAGCAAGTCACACTCAGCCTCAGTTTAACCAGGAGCCAGCTATTTTTTCCAGGGGGGGAGGGGGTTGGGAGCATCAAGATTCTGAGGAGAATGCAGAGGTCCTCATTCCCTCCCCAGGGGGACAAACAAAGCATGTAATACAACAAAGCTGGATTGATTTGCAAATACTGAACTAGGCAGTCGCTGTATCTCTCTGCTTGTGGGGGTCTGTATTGCAGATTAATAATGGATAAGAATGATCCTTCGGTGGTGGATGCCAACATTGGGGAGCGAGTCAGACTGCCCTGCGGAGTAGAAGCCTCACCTGCTTTAACCATTGAGTGGCAGAAGGATGGGCAGCCTGTTTCCTCTTCCAGGTGAGTTCATGTGGCTGTGTTGTCATCATGGCAGCCCTTGTGCGTGCCAACGCTGGGGCTCCTGGCGGATAATGCATTCTCTACCCGAGAGAATCAAGGCCCTAATGATGGAGGCAGGCCTTGCACTGGTTTATAACGATTATGCCATCCAATCAGGGAATAGAAACAATACCATGTGATTTTAGGTGGCATGGCCCACAGTTTAAACTGTGAACATCATTCTCAAGTGAACAGCTGTGGTGAATAATTCACCAGTGATCCAGAGGCTGAAATTTATTCATTACCACATGTTGTCATTTGATCAACCAAATTAGTAAAAAAACGAAAATCACATTCTGTGGAGAATTCATAGAGAAAGGGGATAAATTCACCTGGTAAGTACAAGGTATTAGAACATTTAAGGGGAACATAAAGAGTTACTGGGGTCACCTTGTAGTAGCTTTCCCCCAGAGGGTGGATCTGAGCATTCTCTGAAGATCACAGCACTAGGATATATTTTTGTGTAGTGGCTGAGGGATTTGGTGGCACAGTTCCCCTTATTGCTAATTGATGTCACAGCCCACTTAAATCTTTGTGTTGCTGCTGAATGTTTGCCCAGAGGATGTCAGCAGAAAAGTTGCTTAAGACCTCACCTGCAGAGCTGCTGCTAACACCATGACCGCACACTCCCTCTCCCTTCCCAAAACTCAGGGGAATTTGTGGCTTTTGTCCCCAGGCACAGGCAGCAGTCAGATGGTGCCCTGGTGATCAGTCGTGTTGGCTCTGAAGATGCTGGCTTCTTCACCTGCATCGCTTCGAACGGCCGTGACCAGGATCAACGGCAGGTCCAGCTTCGGACTCTAGGTATCAAAAGGAGGAAAAGGCCCCACTGTATTTTTAGATTATTAAAAGAAGGGAGTGGGAAAGAGTGTAGAGTGCCCCAGCTGAAGTCATCGATTTGGCCTCTATAGACCCTACCATGTGTTACAGTCATGTCACATTCAGGACTAGGCTAGGAGAAAGGGGTAGTTATAATGACTGCTTCCCCAATGGCCATAAAGTCCATATGTGACTAGAGTAGGTGTAGCTATGGTGTGTAATGATGCTGCCGTCGAGTTCTGAGAAGAGCTGCTGACTGTAGATTCACAGCTGTACCCTAGTGGTTCATTGAAAGGATGGTAGTGTGGACAAGATTTCAGCAGGGGTGCGGAAGAGAAATCAAGGGGATTCCCCTTCTGCACCCCGTCCCACAGGCTAGTGCCCAGCCGGAGGAACAAAGCTGGCTGAGGGCTCAGGAGCCTGGCCAAGTGTTGGTTGAGCATTTAGAGGCACAGTGGAAAGACTTTTCTTATGAAGGAATGATCCTACCATCAGTGACCGTATAGAAGGGTCTTCCTGCTATTGATGATCTTCCCCCTGCCCAGGAGAGCTGAGGATCACGGGTCTGCTGCCAAGCCTCACTGTGTCTGAGGGAGAAAATGCCCAGCTCCAGTGCATGGTGGTAGGCAACAATGTGAATGTAAGATGGTCAAGGTAAGCAGTACAACCCTTGGTAACAGTATTTCCTGTCCCTCTTTCCTCCCTGGATGGTGTCATTTATCCCCCACTCTAGGGAGGGTCCAGAACGTACATGAAATATTAACACAGGGCAGCCAACCAGGCTCTCAGAGCCTCCTGCAATATCTCATACCCCTGTGATTAATCCTTCCCCAAAAGCAGGACAGGAGCATCCTACAACACATTTGGGCTCTGGTGAGCCATGGAAGAAAGCAGATTCTAGAGCTAAGGACCCCTTGCAGAGAAGCTCAGATCCTGGCTAGACTGGAAGATGCTATGATGGATAATAGTGACGTTTACCTCAGCAAAAAGTAGAGGCTGAAGAATTGAGAGAGAGCTTTTGTCAGACCCTTTAACACTTTAAGGTCCAGCAAGTCTCCTAGCTCCACTGGAAGGAGCCATTCCATGCCCCATCTTCCTCCATTCATGCCCCCTCACCCCTGCCAATTATGGGCAGGGAAGAATTAAAGATCAATTAAAATGGGAAAAACATTCCCCCTCCACACACTTTTCCCCCCCCTACTTTACAAGGTGTATTTGATAAAATAAATGTTTGTGTATTTTTTCTGCTTAAAAACCAGTATCATTGTGCTGGCGTTCTTGGTGGAGGACCCAGAGAAGTGGCTTGGCAATGATCTTGGTCCTTAATTGAAGGGACGGGGCTGTTGAATCTATAACAAAGATTTTCTTCCATGCGCGTTAGGTATTCGAATTAACAAGAAACACAGGGCTAAAGTCTGAATAAAACTCACCCTTTTCAGTGAATCAGGTTTCATTTAGTTTGTAACTGAGTTCATAACTCTACTATTCTCCACTCCTGTATAGCATATTCCAGGAGAAACAGCTTAGCCAATATCTGACTTTCTACTATAGAAAACGAGCAGAGTCTTTTGGATCTTCTTGACCATTCTTTCACCACCTTTAAGGCCAGCTGCCTTGGTCTCATGGTTAGAAGGGCCTTGAGGCAAGTATGATAGCGAGCAGCAGGTAGCAGAGCTGATCACTGCTGGCCAACCACTCAGTGCCATTTGAGACTGGAGCGAAGCAGAGGTTGTACAGAGCACGCTGCTCTCTCCCTCACTTTGGTTGATTCAGGCTTTAAATATATCCATAATTATAGGGCCCCTGGCATGGCAGAAGAAGTGTTTACCTTGATTTGCTATCTTAGCCTTTCAAAAGAAGAGATTACAGGGACTCTGTCATTCACCTGAAAAATTAGTCAGTTCAAGTGCCAAAGGAAGCTTAGGCCCTCAAACTCTTATTATAGTAACTGGCAGAATGGGATTCCCACTACAGGAATGGAGTTCCAATGCAAGCAGATGGTCACCGCATCCACCTGTCACAGGATGGAAGCCTGATTATAAACAATGCTCGGGCCAGTGACGAGGGATCCTATACATGCAATGCCTACAGGGGGAGCAACTCTGTCAGTGCCAGCACCGAGGTGAAAGTGATCAAGAGCAGGCCTGAAGGTGAGCAAGGATCAGTTCTTCCCCAAAACATCACCAGGCCTTGGGTGGTTGCTGTCTGGATTCACTAATACATTATTTTTTTACTTTGAAAGAGACTGATTAGAATAGTTTGAGTACATTAGAAAAAGCTATTTGTTCACTTGCCGTTGCAGCCCTCTGATCAGGGTTCTGTGCCAGCCCATCACCCACCTCTCCCTCCCCTAACTGCTCTCACAAGAAGGGGGAGGGGGGGCAGCGCACGCAGCAGGACTGTGGGTTCTGTTCCAAACTCTGCCACCAGTTTTCTATGTAACGCTGAACTCGCATTAGTTCCCCCAGCTGTGAAATAAGGATGATTAATTTCAGGAGGGAACTGGGGGGCTTAAATCATTAATGCCAAAATGTTCAACTTAGGCAACCAGAAGTTGGCTCCTAAATCCATATTCAGGCACCTATAAATGACATGCCTGATTTTCAGGAGGTGCTGAGCACCCACAACTCCCTGTGCTTCTGGTGGGAGCTGCAGGTGCTCAGCAAACCAAGCCACATACTTTAGTATCTAACTTAAGATTTCAAGAGCCCACCTGAACAGTTTTGGAAGGTATCAAAGACTTGTTTACACACTCAGCATGGGGAAGGCAGGAACATGCTCTCTCCTAGGTACTTAAGAAAAATAAAATCCTGACTCTAGGTCCTGGCAGATCAACTGAGCTTTGGCTAATTATGCATTTAGAAATATAAATGTTTGTCAGAAATTATGCTATTAATGTGAGGCACTAAACAGGCACTGATGCTCTCTCCCTCTCCTCCTGCCATTTGTTTTGCTGCAGCTGTGGACCTGACCAGCGAGTGTGTTGACCAGCCACACCTTGCCAACTGTGATCTGATCTTACAGGCCCAGCTCTGCACTAATGAGTATTACTCCAGCTTCTGCTGTGCCAGCTGTTCTCAGTACCAACCCCAGGACAACCCTGTTCGCCACCAGGGATGAGAATCAGCTCTAGCCCAGCTCCCAAGAGAAGGCAGCCTATGACGATTACTGGACAGGAACAGGGACTTTGTCCTTTTTACTCCCAAAACAATCTAGGAGCTCAGGTGGGCTGTTTTGCCAATATATGAATGCTACTCAGTGTAATTGTTCAGAGGCAGCAGAAGCTCCACTGTCCCAACCACATCACAGCCCCTTGTTTTTACACACGCTTTGCTGTAACAGCACCTGCCTTCATTCACAGAAGAAATGCTAAGAACCAAAGAATCGTGTTAGGCTTCTCTAAAGTACCAGGCAGTGTGAAAGAGAGGGGGAGAGAGACTTCATGCAAGCAAGAGAAAGCTTTCCTAAAAACAAAATCTGCGAGCCACTTGGAGAAAGACAACCACCATCCAGCTAATGCCCTGAACAGTGAGGCTGCATAGACAGGGTGGTGGAATGTTTCTATCTAAAAGCCTGTGGGCACCGAAGGGGGACAGAACATATTGCATGTAAACATGGTGTTCCAATCCCATGACAGCCTCCAATGTTTCTCTATGGCTATTTATTTCATCCTAACACACTTTACAAACAGAACTCTAGGCACAGGTCATTTCAGTCTCCACCAAAATAGGGCCAGTTTTGGGAAGAAACATATTACTTAACTGCTCACAGCAACAGGGGCATTTCAGGTGGGCCAAGTCCCTGTGCTTTAACCATCCCTGCACTTAGAAAAGCAGGGTCCTGGTTTTTATAATTCATCCAACACCACAGCACCATGCTGGGGCTTAGTGCAAAGACTACTTTCTGCCAACTGACTCACCAGTGCTTTAGAGCTCTGTCCTTGCTTAACTGCCAAGAGACTACATGTCCTTTAGGACTCCACCTTCTCAGAGCTGTGGAGGAAGTCATTCCATCAGTGTGGTCCTACAGGTAAGGAATGCCACATACAGTGTAAATAAAACAGAAGCATTCATCATTCTGTGACCAGCAAAGGGTGACACCATCAAATGTATACACAGGACTGTGAAAGAAAACTCTGAGGTGCCTTGCTCAAGCCAAGACAGGGTAAGATCCCAAAACAGAATTATTGCCTCCTATGTTAGTGTATTACGTTTAAAGCTTCCTCTAGAGAGTTACTGGCTTGTTCCAATGTGCCTGCTGTAACTTGAGTGAGTTGGTCAGCTACACCATTACACCGTATATTCCAGCATGTGTAGAGGCCCAACCTCCTCAGTGTTACTCAACCTTTGGTATTTCCTCTTTGATTCTATGCTAGGCCCTGAGGCACTGCTATTCCCTCCCATCCAGCTGTCCATACTCTGTGCTGCGGAGACCATTTTATTAGCATAAAACTGGATTTTGGTCAGTTCAATTGTCTATATGGGTTGTAGCGAATGTGTGCTGTGTACATGCTGAGGTCTAAACTAGTCAATTAACCTAATAATCCATAAGTTGCTAGGAAAGAGTATTTTCTACTCTTTAACAAGGTTGAGCAAAATTTGACTGTAGTGTATCTATCACCTTTTCTCCTCCCATGCAGGGTACTAAGCAAAATTAGCCTCCTTTCCTGTAACAGGACTTTCTTTGCTCCTGTATAAGGCAGCATTGAAGTCTGCGTTCTCTTCCTAGCCTTGTTCTGTGACGTTAGGCAAATCCCAACGCTTTTCTGCCTCAGTTTCTCCATTAGTGATATAGGGATACCACCTGCCCCACAGGAGTGCTAAGCACTTTAATTCACTCAACTCTGTAAAGCACATTGCTGGTTTGCAATCAACAAGAAAGCATGTGGAGAAATATAAATTAGTGAAATTCAGTTCCTAAAGCTCTCAATATTAAGATTCCTCTCTGATGGCTGTGCATGTGCTCTACAGAGCACCAGCAGCAGGAGGAGAATAGCACTAGAGGCTAGCCCCGCCCTGTCTGATTTACCATTGCAATGCCCTGAAGCAAACATATAAAGAAAAAGTGAATGAAACACAGTTATAGTGATAGAACTTGATCACCACACTTCCCCCAGGCTCAGCTGAGGAGGATTTACCAGTGTAACAATTTCTATCATTTAGTGTTAAACATGTTAGCAAGAGTCAACCTTTGGTTAAGTTACACAAGTTTGTAGCACTCATGTAAGTGGTCAGCTCCTGCAGCACAGGATTGGTGATAAGTTCCACTTGAAGTAAAGGCCTTTTTTTCTGGTTAAAGCAGCTGATGTCACTGCATCTAGTTTTGATGAAGTGGAGTCAGTTACATTAAGTTGATCATACTTTCTCTTCACTGTATAAAGATGGATGATGGTCAGTTTCAGTATAGATATTTGGAAGCAGCTGTCCAGATTTGATTTTTCAAATACAGTTTTATACTCTGGCTATTTTCAAATGGATTCCTAAATACAGTTGTTACTTCACACTGTTTTAAAAAGACATACAACCACCTTACAAAATGAAGGAAGATGTCCTTTCCCCTACCCATTTTATTCTCTATTTGAGACGTCTGAGATTTTGCTGAAGCTTTAATTTTATAGTAACCAAACTAGCAGGTTGTTTACTTTTTTGGGCTGTTTCTAGAAATCATGAAGTAAAATATGTTCACTGTTCAGGGAAGAATGTTAGTGGACTGTAGGAAGATCATATTCTGCTTGGACTGACATCAAATGGTAGGTGTAGCTGTATCAGATAAATCTGAATGGTGTATTCCCCTTGATTGTGGATATCTACAAGCGGAATGAAAAGTTACATGCATGATAGCATTTGCATTTGATGTTGCAGAAAAAGCTGTCACACTGTTTGAGGAATGGTATGCTCATGGTATTAGACAACGCAAGGGGCAGAGTTAATGTTGCACGTCCAATCTTAAACTCAGCACTGCCTGACTTGAGTGCTTAGCCATGCAACTTTAAAATAACATGATAAACAGACTTAGCAAGTTTAAAAAAAAAAGAGAGAAAAAGTGAAGTCTTGAGGAACATGGCCTAGAGCTAGGGTGGGTCTTACCCCAGGGACACACCAGGTTGTAGCAGTCACAGAAAGTACCAATTTATTTCAGTGGAAAAACAAAAGCGCAAATTCCCTTTACCTGGCTTTAGTGTTTGAGACTAAACTTCTCTTATCATTCAAGGTACAAAATTATTGGATTCAGCAGAATGATGGACTTTTTAGAAAGGGAAATATGAGCCACTGTCGTGGCTTGTGTTTCATACTTAGCTTTCCCAGTGCAGAGAGGCTATGCACATTCACCAACTCTCTGATTGCATCACCACTCACCTTAATAGAATAGGCAGCAGCTTACAGATTTGTGGACTATAAAGAACCTCAGAAAAAAATGGAGACTAGTAAGAGCAGAGATTGATTGCCTTCTCCAAGGGCTGCCAGGATCTTCATGCCTTTACATTGGTTAAGAGAAAAACCACCTTCTCTTCTCTTTCTGATTCTGTTAATGACACAGCAAGACTAATAGTTTGGACATAACTGCCATGGAACAGAAGGGTGTCATCACTGCTGAGTCCACACCATGGAAGCAAATAAGAGCTTAAAACATTTACTCTATGTGAATCCGTGATGCAAATCAAGGATCTCACCAGGCAGTGAAAAATACTATGAGTCTGATTTTCAAAATACTCAAAACTTCAAATGAAGTAAATGAGAACCTTGGATGCCCAGCACATTTAAAAATCTGGTCCAAGAGCTCTACGTAACCACTTTTAATAGTATGTAGAAAATATGAGAAAAGGAATTTAGCTGTTGAAAGAATTAATATTTTGTTTGGCTTCTAAGCCTATCAGGCAAGTAAGGGTATGAACTGAGTGCATACGATACAAAGAAAGTGTGCAGAGGGAGAAAGTATGAAAACAAGGAAAACTTTGCAAAATGTAACCGTTTCTACCACCAACATTTATTTCTGTTAAAGCAGATTATAAATCATCATCAGTACAAATATATAACTTACTTTTGCTTGTAAGGCCAAAGTTTAAAAGTAAAGTTAAAACGAGATGGATTTCACAAGTCACCAGAGGCAGAACTTGGAACAGCTGCAGCCCTAATCACAAGGTTTCACAAACAAACAAAAAGTTGAAAAACAAATCTATTGAACACACACAAAATGGGTTCTTGGGTAGCCCCAGATTGTAGATATGGTTACAGTAAATCACAGTAGTGTTAAAATTGATAGAATTAAGACAAGGAAACTGCAGCAATACATGAAAGAAAATATACATACTATAGAATATTTAGTTTGATTCCATTAAAAAAGACAATAGAATTTCCCCACGGTTTTCAAACCATGGCAATACTGTTCTTTAATTTTTTTTTATTTAAAACTACTCTATAGTGACTTTATTGGTCATGACTCATGATTGTTGTTGCAATATGCCACTTACAAATGAACTGATACAAGAACAAGCTAGGGACCCATCTCCTCCCTCCCCCCATATTACTTACAATAAGAATCAGTGATAAATCAATCTTATGTACAATTTCTTACATCCCACCCCTTTTTACCTTTGGCAAGATTACTTACAACTCATACAGCTTTTAATAGCCAGAACTATTTAAAATATTCTAAATGCATAAAAAATAAAGATTTTGGCTTTATTTTATTCTTTATATATATAATATTCACTCTGTTACTCAAAATGGAAGCTCAACTTTTTCCACAAACAGCTTTTGCTGGGCAGCTGACAACTCCACCCTCTCCTAGTACATCCGACAACTCCTTTCCCCACCTTAGAAAACTTTGCTTCCTCTTTCCTCCAGGGGAATGTTCACGATTCACAGAAAAGTAGAAAGATCCTAAAGACAAAGGTAGATCATTTGATTTTCATCATGCGAGATCTCTTGATGTTCCAGCAAATGGGCTTCAGGGCCCAACCCCCACCTCTGATCTGTTACATTTCCTCTGCCATTTAGTTTTCCAAGGGGGAGGGAGTGCAGAAAGGGGTGTTTCCATGATTCCTTTTTAATAACTGCATAACAGGTTCATCGTAGGTTTCTCCTCCCCATGACTGCTCCCTCTTCATTTGTAGGGACCTTTTGGGTTTATCAAAATGTACTGATTAGAAATAGTCCTCTGCTCCCTCCCTCCTAGCACACAATACCCCAGAGCCACAGGACTGTTTAAAGTTCAATCTCAAACGTCTTCTGTAAATCACTTGAGAAGGGGTTAGTTGGAGATGGGTTAGTGCGCTGCTTTGACTTGCTTTCTAGTGCTGCCCACTGTGCTTCAAACGGATCTACCTGGTGTGCAGATGCAGGAGGCTGTAACTGCTTGTCCTCAGTGGCCCATTTGCCACTGTCAACTCCATTGAAAGCTGCGGAGCCATTGTGCTGAGCAGGAGATTTGAAGAAGGGGCTGGCAGTAGCATTGTTGGTTTCATACTGGGGGAATGTCTGCTGTTTGACAAGACTAGGTGACTGATGGGGATGGGATGCTGGAGTGTGACTTGCAGTTCCAAAAACATTGGCTACCATCTGAGAAGGAGTGATTCCAACCACAGGCACACTGGGAGCAGAAAAGGTCATTCCATTTGCTACAGCATATGGCTGAGCAGGCATAAATGCTGGCTGCATTGGCGGTACCACACCCACTGGCACTGGCTGAGGTGCAACAAAGGTGTTCCCTGGAAAAGGTGTTGCTGGCTTGGAAGCTGCAAGGGGAGGCTGTACTAATGGCTGTGGGGCTGCTGGTGGTGGCTGCTGGGCTCTGACAGTCTTTGATACCTCTTCCAACCAGCGGTCTGCCTCTGAGGGAGTGCGTCTGTGAGTCATCTGGAAGAGACTTGGTGAAGTCGCACCTGAGGAGGTGCTCCATTCAGTACCTGGAAAGGAAAACATGGTGAAGTCATTAAAAAGTCAGTTTGCCAGCTACATTCACCTCCTTACCAAAGCTAGTCAAAGGGTTCCAAAGATGTGTACTCACAAGCAGCCCCAGGCTCTCAACCCCCACAGCTTGTGAGGATGCTGCAATCTCTGCATGCACATTTTTGTACCCAACTGGCCACATATGCTGCTCTACTATGTTCAACGCAAGTGTAAACTGACCTCTTCAGGAACTGGAAAGTAGGCCTGGGCAAACTGAAAGGCTTCGGGGTGGTGGGAGCAGGGAGGAGAAGAATTCTCTTGTTCCAGAAGAGATTTTATCTAATAAATTTGCCACTAGCACTCCCATCACCTCCATCCAGGAGGGGACACTGGCAGCACCAAAGCATCCTTTTACAGTAGGGATCTGATGTTGGTTATCCAACACAGGGGAGAGAAGGAAGGTGAGAGGCAAGCAGGAAAATGTAGCACTACCTTCCCTTACCACTTGCTCCTACTTTGGTATAGGAAATGGCAATTTAAGACTTCCCTGTTCAGAGCCGAATAGCTTTTAAACATGCCAGTCAGGCCTGGTGGACTCTTAGGCCTTGTCTAAAGTTTTGTCAGCAAAGGTTATGCTGCTTTAATTAAAACCGCTGTTGCATGTCCACACTAGTTCCTTGTGTTGGCTGAGTGCCTCCACACTAGCAGCTCTTGCATTGACACAGAGAGCAGTGCACTGAGGGTAGCTATCCCACTGTGCAACTGGCCACAGGGTGTGTTGGGAAGGGTTTGCAATGCCTCATGGGACAGGTATAGGGTTACCATACATCCGGATTTTCCCGGACACGTCCGGCTTTTTGGTCCTCAAATCCCCATCCGGGAGGAATTTCCAAAAAGCCGAACATGTCCGGGAAAATAGGGAGGCATGGTAAGGGGACCCCGAGTGCGAGTGGCTGCAGCAAAACTCACAACTCCCGCGATCTGCCGAGGCACAGAGGCGGCGGGCAGCATCCAAGCATGCAGCCGCCTCCTCCCCGGGCTCCAACTTTCCCAGCTCCCGCTGCTCTCCACCGCAGCGGGGGCCGAAGCAACTTCCCCAGCGCAGCAGAAGCCAGAGCCCAGGGGGCGGGAGGGAGGAGGGGGAATGCAGGGTGCTCAGGGGAGGGGGCGGAGTTGGGGTGGGGACTTTGGGGAAGGGGTTGGAATGGGGGTGTGGAAGGGGCGGAGTTGGGGCGGGGCCTGGGTCCCCGTGGAGTGTCCTCTTTTTTCAGTGTTGAAAAATGGTAACCCTAGGCAGGTACAGCATCACACGATGCAGGTTTCTCAATCCCATCATTCCAGGGGCATCCTTCTAGATCGCCAGCCACTTTTCACCTGAAGTGTGTGTGTGGGGGGGAGGGGAGGGGAAGGAGAGGAGAACAGTGTGTCTGGAGTGGGGAAGACAGCAGGCTGACAGACCTATCCTGAGGCAGGGGAAGGGGGACACCTCCCCACGTCAGCCCCCGACTCTGCTCAGCACCGCAGTCTCTTCTGAAGTAGCCCATTCTGCCTGCCTGCCTATGGTTCTATGATTCCCGCCGAGTTCTCCCACAGCCTCCTCAGCTGCCATGGGGAAACATCTAGCTGCGAGATCTCTGTGCTGAGGAATGTCAAAGCAGTCCCTCCCTCCCCACCCCCAGCAGCAGTCTGCCTGCCCCAGTGTTCCTAGTGCAGGACAGAACAGGAGCATTCCAATGATTTGCTCTTTGTTCCCCAAACGGAGCAGCACGCTCAGCAGTCAGATACTTCCCCTTTGAAATGGGGGTTGGGGGGGGATGGTACACGCCTGCAGGGCAGCAAAACAGTGAGCAAAGCGGTCATGGTAGGCATTGTAGGATACTGGTGGAAGCCAGTTATGTCAACAAAACAAACAACAGTGTCTACACTGATGCTTTGTCACTTTAACTTTGCCACAAAAAGCCCTGTGCCTCTTGTCAAGGTGGTTTTGTTTTGTCAGCAAAACAGCAGCATTTTGCTGCCAAAAGTAGCTCTGCAGTGCGTACACCTCCCGTTTTGTCAGCAAAAGGCAGCTTTTACCGACAAAACTTTGTAGTGTAGATAAGGCCTTAGAATTCAAGCTGTAGCAGCTATGGTGGTAGCAACAGTATCTTCGGTTTTTTTACTTAATTAGCAGGATCACAAAATCTCTTTCCTCTACTTCTTATTCTTTATCTTGTCCCTCAGTTCCCAAAACTATTTAAGCAATTGTGAATAGTGCTAGATTGGAAGCCTTGGAGACTAAAGTCCTATTAATCAACAGAACATGTGGATAACGGGCAACTATATGAATTCTCTCGACTGCCTATTAGCCCTGAGCTGGGAGGAACCATCCCAGTTGGGTAAAGATGGTCGTTCTGTCGCATAGCCAATTCAAGCCTTGGTCTTTCTACTTACAATCCACAAGGGTGCGGGTAACCTGCCTACTAGAAATCCTGGCCACTCAGACCAACCAGCAATTGCACACGGGGCCAAGGTTTTTAGATATCAAGAAAACTTTAGCATTATAACTGAGGCCAGATTGGAATCTGTGACCTAGCGACAAAATGCTCTGTCCCCCAGTTACTACAACCGAACTTGTAACAAATTCCATTATCTAGTGGAGGGTTCTCGGGGGGAGGGTTTGTTGTTTGAATATCCTTGCCCTGATGGATTTTAGGATTTTTACAGGAGGTTGGATCTGAT